CTTCCTCAGAGACACTGCTGACCATACTGATGTTGTTAGGTGCTGTCAAGTCAATTCTGACTCATAGCGACCCAATATACAACAGAACGAAACACTGCCTGGTTCTGTGCCATCACAACTGTTGCTATGTTTGAGCCCATTGTTGCTCACAGCCACTGTGTCAACTGATTATACTACCAATTTTTTTTTTTTTCCAAACTGAGAAAATATCAAAGATTGATGATGGCAAATTCTAACACAGTTATCTGCTTTCTAAAGCTTAGAATATGCTTTATATCTTCCCACTGTTTTTGGTAGGTAGAGTTAGTTTCCTGATCACAAGAGGCCAGGCCTTCCAGAGATAAGTTATAAAGGTTCCATTTTAGAAGTCATTGTTGACTAAACATTAGAGGAAATCCTAATAACAATAGTGATAATATGTATGCAAAGTCAGCTGACATCTATTGAGCACCTATCATGTGGTATAATAAGAGTATTAAAAATTCAAATACTAACTATGTACTTACTATATGCTTAGCACTGTGCCAGGAACTGGTATAATAATGACAATGACAATAACTAAGATTACCAGTTGCCATCCAGTTAATTCTGACTCATGATGACCCTACGTGTATGTCAGAGTAGAACTGCGTTCCAGAGAATTTTCAATGGCTGATTTTTCAGAGATTGCTAGGTCCTGCTCCCAAGGTGTCTCTAGGTGGACTCAAACCGTTTGCCACCCAGGCACTCTAACAAAGACTTAGTTATTGCTTATTTTGTGCTAGTCACCATTTTTAGCACTACACAGTAGGTATTTTTATTATTCCATTTTACACAAGAGGCACAGAGAAGGTAAATAACTTGCTCATGCTACATAACTAGATCATGAGTTTCTTGTTCTACCTACAGGTGAAACAACTTTCTAAAGGTTACACATCAAGTAAGAGATAGAGCCAGGCTATCTAGCCCCAGAACCCACTACCTCCTCCACTTAATAGCTGTATAACTTTGGGAAAATGACTTAACCTCTCATAATCCTAGTTTCCTTGTCTGTGAATGGAGGTGATAATATATACTTTCAGAACTTTATAAGGATGCTTAATACTGCATGTGAAGTGACTAACACAGTGCCTAGTAGATAATGGCATTATTAGGGATTCATTAATCCAAACACACAGTACTCAGTATGCCTTGGTATGGCCACACCAGTTGTTAAAACATTTAAATAGTTCCATACCAATTGGCAAAACCTTTGCCCTAAGCCCTCTAAGTACCTCCCTTCCTGGCCACCAGCCCCTCCTGAAGGGCCCCTGGGACTCTATTCTGATGGTTAGTGCCTGTGTCACACCAGGTGTCAAATATTCCTATGCATCCTGGGTACAGATATAAATGAAATGGGTTTTTGTTGTTGATAAGGATACAGTCTTGGAGGGGCACTGGGCACAGCAGGAGAGTGATAGGTTCAATGATGAAAGAATCTGCTGCATATGAGATGGCTCTGAGGGTGGTGAAATGGAATAGCTTGGGTGCATCAGACATCTTCACCAAAGGTAAGAAGCTGTACTATCAGTGACCTGTTGGAGGCAGGAGAGCATCCTACATTATCAAAAAGTGACTTGTGTCTTTTTTTTTTTTTTTTTTTCATTCTTTCTACCTCTACCCTAGTACAGGCCTTTAGGACTCTGCCTAAACTCCACTGAAACCAAACCAAACTCTGCCGTCAAGTTGGCTCCAACTCATAGCGACCCTTCTTTGGGTTTCCGAGGCAGTATCACTATGGAAGTAGATTGCCCAACCTCCCTTCCAAGGAGTGGCTGGTGGGCTTGAACCACCAGCCTTCTGTTAATAGTCAAATGCCTCAGGCACTACAAGCTTCATAATTAAGTGGTCTTCCTGAGCCAACAGTTCTGTCCATTCTGTGATTCTCTTACCCAACAACTTTTAGTAGCTTCCTTGGTCCCATCTTCTTATTGAGGCACCCAGGACTCAGTATCATGTAGTCCCAGTCTCTGCTTCCAGTCTTTTATACTTACTTCAGGGTAGGTGCCAGGTATAGCTGCCAAATGAGATGTTATCTGTGCTAAACTCTGCTGCTGCTACTGCTGTTGCTTGAAACTTGTGGATACTACCTCAGGGTTTTTCAACACTCTTTTCCAATACAACTTCTTTTGTGAAAATTCCCTGCATCTATGTTCATTCTATCATCAGACTCTTCTCCCACTCCAATGTCCTATGTGGATGGAATGGATACAAATGAACAACTGACATGCATTGATATTAATAGCTTGGTATGTCAAGTGCTGTTCTAAGAGCTTTACATGCATTGCCTTCTTTCATCCTCACAAAATTTCCACAAGGCAGGGACAATTATTATCTGTTTTTGGACAGGAAAAAAAAAAAAAAAAAAAAACACCCAGTGGCACAGAGGTAAAATAACTTTCCAAAGATCATGCAGTAAATGAGATATGGAGCTGGCCATCCAAACGTGGAAGTTGGCCTCTGGAGCCTGTGCTCTCAACCACTGTTTTATAGTGACTAATAGCTCTCAAGAGAAAATAAAAACTTTCTCATGTTATTACTCAACATATACTGCTTGGTTTCATAATAATTTACTTATTATTTTATCTCCTCTATGCAGGCTGAATATTCGTAGGGGAGGAACTTTGGGTCTCATATCCTTATATCTCAGTTACCATCAATAAGGTGTGGGCAAACACAGGTAGTGCTACTGAGTTATAACTCCTCTGAAGGCCTCCTGATTGTGAATTGGCCACTATTAAGGCCACCTTTCACTAGTATTTCTACTAACTAAATGCAATACATGGCCAACCCAGGTGCAGGATCACATGGACTCTAAGAAAGTTGTGCTTAGTTTCATGATTCAGATTGTGGCTGGGAATTGGCATTTATCTTCTTCATAATAGGGAAGATGTGTGTATGATTTCTCCCTTTTAGAGCTGGAGAAACTAAAGCATTCTGAGGTTATTTGCCTAGATTCATCAGGCAGGTCCAGGTTCCCAGTTCAGGACCCTGGACAACCCTGGTGATTGTGCCCTGATGCCATGTACTAAGAATCAATAGATGGAAGAGGTTGTTGACTGACTGAAAATTTTTGGAACACCCTTCCCTTATATTTTTACCTTGATGCAAAATGAAATTATGACATCATGATGGGAACATGGGACTTCCTTATTTGTATTTTTAGAACTTGCTAGATTTTTCCAAAGGTGTAGTGATCAGTTCTTGTATTGAAGAAAAATCGTTGTGTAAAATCTGTAACATTTTCCATTTGTAACATACGTGACAATTGAGTTTGTTCTAGAATCTAGAAAACAAAGTGATAGATGTTTAGTAGAGAACTGATAATTTTGTACAAAAGTCTTTGATAAAAAGCTGTGGTAGTTCAGTTTGTATGTCAACTTTACTGGGCCTGGTTGAGTGGCTGGGCAGCTGGTGGTAGTTATTCCCCATGATGAGACTGGCAATCACCTCCATGGTGGCATCTACCACAAGCAGCTGAGTAGCTGCCTTTGGGATGTGGTCTCCTTTCCGTATATAAGGAGAAACTTTGGGGAATGGTCTCTAGCTTATGGTACCTTGAACCTTGCATGTAGCTGTGTCATTGTTCAGCAGCCTGCCATGGTCTGCCCACCTTGGGACTTACAATGGACTTGAAGTAATGCCCTGCTGTGTAGGTTGGTAACATCGGGACTGTGTCTTTTTACTTGCAACCTTGGGTTTGTCAGCCTCAACAGCCAGCAGCTGTCTGAGTGAAGAAAAGCCTCTAGCTTCAGTGGGCCGGGAGCAGGAGGCAGAGCTGAACCCCTAGGTTGAGGGGCTGTCACCCAGCCCCTAGGCCTGGCACTTTGAACCTGGACTTAAAGCCTTGAAATTGTTAAGAATAAACTCCTGTTTGTTTAAGTCATCCCATTTATGGTATATATTCTTGTTAGAGTGGCACTAGGTAACCAGAACAAAAGCCCAAAACAGGAATTTCTGTTGTTCTTAGTTGCTGTTGAGTAGATTCCAACTCTTGGTGACCCCATATGTGTCAGAGTAGAACTGTACTCCATAGGATTTTCAAACCTTTCAGAAGCAGATCATCAGCAATGTCTGCTGAGGGACCTCTAGGTGGGCCAATTACCAATCTTTGTTAGTAGTAGGCAGCGCTTAACTATTTGAGCCACTCAAGAACTCTTAACTTTCAGAATTGGCAGGTGGTAAAAGTGTGTGTGCCACTGACTTTAGAGGGGCAAGGGATTCTTAAAAATATATCTGCCAAATATCGTGTAGTAATACTATTTGTAAGGTGACTGTTACCTAGGTTTTCCTCTACCAAGTATTGTCACCGTTTCCATTTCCACAGAGTTGGCCTGGGACAGGTGTTGGTCGCCTGGAAATGCGGAGCTGATCGGGAAGGGAGCAGGACTGTATTGCCAAACAGAGTCCGCTATGCAGATTAAAGTTCCAATGGTTCAGTTTGAGCTTTGGCTCTGGCAAGCCAGCACATAAACCAGAATCTTTAATTACGAACAAACGAGTGACTGTAAGTACGCCTCTTCCCCAACACTCGCCCTTGGATCACCTTCCCTGGGCTTCAGTCGACACAAGCCATCGCCCCCTTTAAGATCCCGCTCCGCGGGACTAACGTTCGAATAGGCTCAGAAGCCCCTCCTCGCTCTGGGATTGGCCCGGCTCAGCGCAAGAGGGCGCGCAAGCCACCCCCGGAACGGTTGGCGGCTCTTCGTGATTGGCTGGAGCTCGAGGAACCTATATAAGGCGCGGGGCTGCTGCTCTTCCCTCAGTTAGCTACTGGATCCGAAACTGGGTGATCGTGCTGTGTGGAGAATCTAGGGGTTAGTGCGCGCGTCACCTGAGTCGTTTCTCTTCGGGGTCCAGATTTCGAGGGTCCACCCACGGGGCGGGCTGGTTTGCGCCTCTCTTCCTACCCAGCGTCCGAAGGTGTAGTCGGTGCTCACCCCTTTCACCTCCGCGCCAGCCCTGGTAAAGGGGGAGGCAGAATGGAATTCAAGCTAGAAGCCCACCGCATCGTCAGCATTTCTCTGGGCAAGATCTACAACTCGCGGGTCCAGCGCGGCGGCATCAAACTGCACAAGAACCTATTGGTCTCGCTGGTGCTGCGCAGCGCTCGCCAAGTATACCTGAGTGACCCGTGCCCTGGTCTCTACCTGGCTGGCCCCGCAGGGAGCCCCGTGGCGCCACCACAGCAGCCAAGGGAGCCTGCGGCCAGACTACCCGCCAGCTGGGGAGAGCCGCCTCCGCCGGCCAGCCGCGCAGCCTGGCAGGAGACCGAGCCGCAGTCGGAGTTCCGCGCTGCCCCAAGCGAGCCGCGGAAGGATGACGCAGAGCCCACGGCCCCTGTGACGGGAACCGGGAACACTCTTCAGGACCGAGAAGCGGAGGCGGCGGAAGCTGCCTGGCACCGCGTGGTGGGAGTACGCGAAGCGGTGGTCCGGCGCCCTGCGGCAGGCTCGGACGTTTTCCCCGAGGAGTCTCGGGCTGTGCGCCGCCCCTGCTGCTGCCCCCCACGCGGAGAGGACAAGCTGGGCTTGGCGACTGGATCCCCCCGTGTTGACTGCTGCTGCGAGCCCCGGCCCGCTTCGAAGGAGCCTCCTGCGCCGCCCCTCGTCTGCCCCAGGAAGCGCGGCGCAGCGGGGGTGGGCGGTGGCCCCGCAGGCTGCCCGGCGCCCGGCTCGACCCCGCTGAAGAAGCCTCGCCGGAACTTCGAGGAGCAGCCGGGTGAGGGAGAAGAGGAGGAGGAGATGGACACCGGTAACGTGGCGAACCTCATTAGCATCTTCGGTTCTAGCTTCTCGGGACTCTTACGGAAAAAAAGCCCTGGGGGCGGCAGGGAGGAAGACGAGGGCGAGGAGAACGGGCAGGAAGCCACCGAGCCTGGGCAGATCTGCTGCGATAAGCCTGTGTTGAGAGACATGAACCCATGGAGCACAGCCATCGTGGCCTTTTGAGCCCTCCCCGGTCCCAGTGAGGAAAGGAGGTTGAGCAGCGGGCATCCCCAAGTGAGGGCTGGGCCTCTCCCGGCTGCGAGGACGCCCCTCAGACCATAGCCGTTGGGGCGTGTTGGGGATACTGGTTGTGGCCGGGCAGCAGAAACTGCCCTTGAGCTTGGCAGCTCTGCTGTGCAATGACTCCCGTGAGTCTCATCCTGAGACTTGGGAGTTGGAGGGCTTTTGGAAGAGAACGATCGTAAACTTTTGTGTATGTGTATGTCTGTGTGTATATTTGTCTTGTTGAATTAAGACTTTTGTTCTTGAATGCATCACCTCTTCCCCGGGGCTTAAGAGAGTGGGACAGACAGGGACTTTCCTCTGCCGACAGCACCGAGAAGGAAGTGGAGAAAAGGTCTGGGGAGTTCCCCATTCGTGCTCTGGGGAGGAAGGGACTTTACACACAGCCCTCATATGAAAGCTAGAACCACGCCATGGCCTAGAGTGGCGTTTCTTTACAGGATTTCCCAAGACTACAGGGATTTAGTCTGGAGCTAGAGATTTGTATTATTTCTCTCCCCTCCCCATCTTTCTCTTTCACTGAAAAATGTTTATACATACCCTGTAATTACTCTGGGAAAGGGGGACATTGACAGCCCTTTTCTTCCTCACAGGGTGAGAAAGCTTGATAAACTTCACAGAAGAGTTAAAGCTTGGAAATAGGGAATTTACAGAGAAAAGATACGATTTTGAAAGCTCTGTGCCAGAAATACTACTCGGTGCTTTCAAAAAGTGTTGAATGAAACGAAGTTTACAGATAGAAGCCCCGAGTGGAAAGACCTTATGGTTTTGTAGACATGGTGACTCCAGTCTTTGTTGTATAAAGGTTGGAGAAACTGATAAGGTTTTTTGTACAGTATTTTCTCCTTCAATGTATTGATTTTTGTATAAAAATGTAACTTTACGTGTCTAACACGTATTAAATATTTTGAAGCAATTTCACTGGCTCCTTGTGTAATCACCTGTCTTGGGTGGAAAGGAAGTGGGAGGAGGGAAGCTAAGGTCTCCACCAGAAAATTGAAGGTGTGGTTCTTAGTCATGCACAGACTAGGGGAGGTTGTTTCCGGAAACTTCACTAAGTAACAAAAGAGGTACATTAAAAGTTTTTCCTGGACTTCTATTAAAGTGTCAGTGGCCTGCACGTTTCTTGAAACCTACTACTTAAAAATGCCATTTAAAAGTCAATTTAGGCCAGTTTGATTTTCTACAGCCCAATCTAATATCTGTTCAATATTAAATAAGCATCAACTTTTGAAACCCTTCTCATTGACAGTATTTTTCACCAAAGCTTACAGTTTGGCTAAACTGTGAAGCATGGTTCATCTTTCAGCTTTGTTACTAAAAAAGAACATTGTTTAGGTAGTAGCTTGCTTTAGAAGTCTAGTCTAGTCTTCCTGACATGAGGAAGCTGATGCGATTGACTTGTGGAACTGGTTAGGTCCACCTCTGCAGTCCAGTAGATGGTCAGAATAGAAATTTTGAGTGCTCTTCCTCCTCCCTACCCCCCTCCCCCTTTCATAGATAGAAAGTAAATGCCTCAGTGAAAGGGAAATTGCTTGTTTCATACCAGGCCAATGAGGGCTAGGCAAATTTGGCTTATCACTTAGCAAAACTTGCTGATGTATTTTTGTAACCCAAACATCAGTGTTTGGATCATGGTAAACAGGTAATCACAACCAAGTCATCAGTTGATTTTACTGAAAGTGTGGCATTCAAGAACTTTTTGTCTAGGAAAAAATGTTCAATATTTGAAAAGTATTGAACCATCTAGTTTCAGAAGCAAACCAATTTGAGAATGGTGTCTTAAAATACGGTAGTCCTTTAAAGATAGTACTGGCCTATAACAAGTTCTGGTAGCATAGTGCCTAAGGCATTTGACTGCTAACCAGAAGGCTGGTGGTGGTTCATGTCCATCAGCCACTCCTCGGAAGGAAGATTGGGCAATCTACTTCTGTAGTGATACTGCCTCGGAAACCCAAGGAGGGGTCGCTATGAGTTGGATCCAACTTGACGGTAGTGAGAGGTCTATAACAACTTCATGAGTGTATAAAAGATAAGAGAAACTGGAGAAAGATTAGACACAGCTTTAAGTAAAGGTTATGGCTTTTTAGCAAAAAGATCTTATGTATAGTGCCTTGGCTTTACTAAAGTCCTGACTATTTGAAGTTATTTCATAGCTGAGTTGGCCAGTATTTTGATGTTTTATAAATCTGTTAGTAGTTCCTTAAGCATAAGGGTTCAATAAATAACTTTTTCTTTTATGTTCATCATCATATATTCCTAGAGTTAAACATTCTCTATTAGGCTCTTGTTAAAATTGACTTTTTTTCCCCTAGAGATTAGCTACTTAAATTCTGTTAACAGCCACAAAAGCCATTGAGTACTAACTACTTAAACTGAACAAGGTGTCCAGGGCCTTAATTCTGCAAACATGACCTGTTAATCAGAAAGTAATTATTATGCTCAAACACCTATCTCAGTGTATTTTTATATTTGAAATGATGTAACATTTGATGTGTTTAGGGAGCTGATGTCTTTTAGGTGAAACTATAGTTTTCTGTTGATTCTTAATTTCACATTAAAATGAACCATAGGATTATGTGTCTGCTTAATTTACAGATGGTAAACTGGCGTATTTGATGGAGGGATACAGCCAGGGAATTAGAAAGGACTATATTATTTCAATAGTGTTTTAGAAGCAGTATATGTAGTGGTTAGTGCATGGGCTTTGGAGCCAGACTGCCTAGGTTGATATCTTGGCTCTGCCACTTGCTAGCTATAGGACCTTATTAGACAACTTACTTTGTCTTTCTCTGACTCAGTTCTCTCAAATGTAAGGTACCTACCTTATAGGGTTACAAAAATTAAAGTATATAAAGCTCTTTGAAAAGTACCTGATACATACTATTAAGCACTCAGTTGTCATTGTTAATGTAGAAATTCTGTGTATATATCAGAGCTATTAGGGTTAAAGAATTGTCTATATGTAAGAAAAAAGAGGGAGAATCTATTTTAAAATTATCCTCTCTGTGAATGTTAAGACTCTTTTATTCTGGTTTTCTCTGAACACTTGGCAGTCACTAAGCTTTGTTCCATCAGAATAGTTTTGCTATGTGTCTCACACCAACCCTGTGACTTTCCTGATTGTATCAAACAACTCTCTTTTCAGGGAGGAGTAAGCAGGCGTGAAAACACTCAAATAGCAAAGATCTTGTTGACATTTAAATGCTTTCTGTGGATGAGTAAAGGGGAAAAAAAAATTGCCCATAGAGTTATTTTTAGCCTCCATGGTTTGGGCATTGAATATTTCTTAAGCCGTGCTAATTGATAGGTCCTGGAAAAAAAACCCATGCCAGAGTGGGGTTATCATGCACAGCTAAATCAGATTTAGTGCAACCAGACATGAGTCCCTCATTTTAGTACCTAACCAAGTTCTTGACTACTCTGGGAAGGACCTGGTTTCTTGAGCAAATTAACCTTAGCTCTAGTCTGGGAACAAATTTTTTTAATACCATCTAAAAGCCAGATATTGAAAGTCTTTTGGACAAGTACTCCAAGATCATATTAATCATAGGGAACAAAGTTTTAGTAGAGTACTTCTCAACCATGTCACTTTAAACCTGTCTTCACTCTCAAACCATGGATGGTATTTGGGGGAAGGAACTAAATGATAGAAAGCTTGAAATGTTTCTCCAAAGTACTTGGGTTTTCTCCATGGTACCTAATAGAGCAATAACAACCCTTCCATTCTTCCCATTGATCACTGATTGGATTTGGGGATGAGATGTCGATGGGAATGAGTCATTTAACAACTTTGGAAGAATGCTTCTCAGAATAAAACCAAAACACCAAATCCATTGCCTATGAGTGATTTCAACTCATAGCAACCTTGTAGGACAAAGTGAAACGACAGGGATTCCAAGGCTGCAGTGTTTAAGAAAGAAGACCACTACATTTTTCTCCTGTGGAGCGGCTAAAACAACCCACTGCCATCAAGTTGGATCCGACTCATAGCAATCCTTTCTTGGGTTTCTGAGGCAGTATCACTAAGGAAGTAGATTGCCTAAGCTTCCTTCTGAGGAGTGGCTGTGGCTGATGGGTTTGAACCGCCAGCCTTCTGGTTAGCAGTCAAATGCCTTCTGCACTATGCCACCAGCTAGTTGGTTCAAACTGCCGACCTTTCAGTTAGTGGCTGAGAGCTTTAACCACTGCACTGCCAGGGCTCCTATGTTCTCAAAGTAACAGTAATGACAAAAATGCTCTATTTTTTCACTGGGTTAGTCTTGAGTCCCTCTTACTTCAACTTGCTAGACACAGCAACCTAGTTCAGAGCTGCAGTGATTGAGTCAAACAGCTAATACCCACTGTGACATTTGACTTTGATAAACATACATTTATTTATCCTTTTTTTTTTTTTTTAAAGCAGAGTTAGTTCAGTTCACTGAGTAACTAAAGGACTTCTGATCTCTTTCAGTTATTCAGTGAACTAAACTTATGCTCTCTTACCCTAAATATTTTATTCTTGTTTGTGAATTTTTTATTTTTCCAGGCTTCTTTTATCCCAGCAGTTATTAAAAGAAGACTGGAATGAGAAGAAACTGATCAACCTTCCTGTGACTATGAAAGAAACCATTACTATTAAGTGCTGTACTCCAGTGGGGAGTGAGGTATGCTTCCCAGGATTCTTGGCACTCTTTTCAGTAATGAGCAGTTTATCCCTCAGCCTGCGAACCAGTGTTGAAATTTAAAAATCTACCCAATGGAAATCTTTGGGAGGAAAAACAGTAGAAGCAAAGTTGATGTTAGGAATTACGGTGATGCTAACTCATGGCCCTTAAAGGTTTTCAGTAACAACAATTCTTAGAAGGGTACAATAGAGAACAGAATATGTGACAACAAACTAAAAGGATACACACACCTAGTTGAATGCCTCCTTCCTGATCCAAACACAGTTTTTCCCC